ACTGGGATGGACTGGGATGGACTGGGATGGACTGGGGTGACATTCCATGGGGACAAATGCGTGGTGACAGGATGGGGACACGTCCGGACTGCAGGTGACACTGGGGACATTAAACTGGGATAAACTGGGATAAACTGGGATGGACTGGGATAAACTGGGATGGACTGGGATGGACTGGGATGGACTGGGATGGACTGGGATAAACTGGGATGGACATTGGGGTCACTGGGATGGACTGGGATGGACTGGGGTGACATTCCATGGGGACAAATGCGTGGTGACAGGATGGGGACACGTCCGGACCGCAGGTGACACTGGGGACATTGAACTGGGATGGACTGGGATGGACTGGGATGGACTGGGATGGACTGGGATAAACTGGGATGGACACTTTGTGCCACTCTGGTGACACTGTGTCCCACCCCTGTCCCTGCAGTGCCAGTTTGGGGACACTCACCACTTACTTGGTGACCCTTGGTGACACTTTGTGCCACCCCGGTGACACTCTGGTGCCACTGTGTGACACTTTGTGCCACTCCTGTCCCCCCAGTGCCGGTTTGGGGACACTTTGTGACACTTTGTGACACTTTGTGCCACCCTGGTGACACTCTGGTGACACTTTGTGCCACTCCTGTCCCCTCAGTGCCACCCTGGTGACACTTTGTGACACTTTGTGCCACCCGTGTCCCTCTCAGTCCCAGTTTGGTGACACTTTGTGCCACCCCTGTCCCCAGAGTGCCGGTTTGGGGACACTCAGCACTCATTTGGTGACACTTTGCGACACTTTGTGCCACTCTGGTGACACTCCGGTGACACTTTGTGACATTCCTGTCCCCGCAGTGCCACCCTGGTGACACTTTGTGCCTGTTTGGTGACACTTTGTGCCACATTGGTGACACTTGGTGACACTTTGTGACAGTTTGTGACACTCCTGTCCCCGCAGTGCCGGTTTGGGGACACTTGGTGACACTTTGTGACACTGTGTCCCACTCGTGTCCCCTCAGTGCCGCTGCCACCGCCGAAGCCGCTGCAGCAGCTGGAGGTGCCACTGCTGA